TGTTCGGCTTCTCCGACAAGGTGGGTTCGCTAGTGTGGGGTTTTTTTGGTGCTGCAGCCTGGGAAGTGGGAATTAGTGTTCAGGTGTGCTGACTGCTGAGGTTGCGATGCTCTAGAGAGCTTGGTGATTGCGATTGGTTTTGGGCTGCTGCTCAGCTGCAAACTGCGATAGGTAGTCTTCAGTTTCCTCTGCTCTGCGGCTGCTCTGTGCCATCGGATAAACCTGATGGAAGTGTAGGCCACACTATATTGCGTCTCAAATGTGCTAATATGCATGCCTAAGTGTCAGAGTGGCGTGCACTGCGTGATGCACACTATTGTGCATTGTTGGATCAAGGGTCATGCACGTTTATCTCATCAGCGCTTCAGCGAATTGGCATGAGTAGGTGAGCTAATGGCCTCAGATGTGCATGTGTTACTGTCGGATGGTACTCGACTGGTTAGGATAGTAGTGTTGGTCTTATCACTTCTTATATAACCACCCATTACAACTTTTAATCAGTATGACATATGCTGTTATGCAGGGTAATTTGAATTTGATCACACAAGCATTGGAAGCAGTTGGGCGTAAGATGGAAGTTCTACCTGACCCTTCTACAGTTCATTTCCACCTACCTGGTGATCTCTCTGTCCTTGTGCATAGAAAGTACGAAGACTTCATCAACGAACTGATCAGCAAATTCCCTCACGAGAAAGAAGGGATCCTTAAATTCTACGATACATGCTGGAAGGTACTGTCTTCAGTTTCTTACCTGTATCTCGGGACTCTTGTGTTATACTCTCTCCATTCCAAATTATAAGACGTTTTGGCTTTTCTTGATACATAGCTTTTGCTATGCATTCCGATGGAAAGGTTGTCTAGAACGAAGCGTAGCGTTATAGGTGTTCGAGCGAAGTGAGGTAGAAACGTTCTTGCCCCCAAGGGTAAGGTTGTTTATACCGAGCGTAGCGAGTTAGACGAACGGAGTGAGCAATAATTGACCGTAGGGAGATTATTGCGAACGTTTAGACATGCACTATGTCTAGATAGATAATAAAAGCAATGTATCCAGAAAAGCCAAAATGTCTTATAGTTTGGAATGGAGGGAGTAGTTGATAGTGCAACGCTAGAAATTACAATGATTGTCTAACAATCACATTTCAACAGATCTTCAATTCACTAAATTCGTTGGAGCTGAAGTCTCTAGAGGAGCCCCTTTACCTTTTTGGGCAATTTTTCCAGAAGCCTCTGGAATGCTTAACTCTAGGTATATAGACTGCAGCCCTGTATTCAAATTGAAAAATGTACTATTTACACTCTGTAGAGAAATTACACAAGGAATTAGTTAAATTAATGTGAAGCAAATGCATTCTCACAAAAATTGTAAGAATTATTTGCTGTGTGTTGGAGTTTTTTTTTTGAACAGTACATCATATTTACAATAAAAGTCACAGGTCTATCTCCCTTTCAGCTTATTATTTGCCACAGAATGCTGGGGATATTGCTCGCAAGTTCATAAAAGATCAGGAGCTACTCTCCTTCATAGATGCTGAGGTGTGAGAGATTTGTGAGTTGATTCACTTTTCAAGTTTTCCTCTTTGGAGCATGTGATCTTCAGTCAATACTAGTTTAGTCGAAGGCTGATGACTATTAATTGTTTTTGTAGTGTTTTATTGTGAGCACAGTCAATGCCTTGCAAACACCCATGATAAATGCAAGCATGGTAAATTCAATCTTGATCTTCTGGATCTTCATTTCAAATTCATTTGGGCTTCTGTTATCTCAATGCCAATATAACAGGTCTTGTGCGATAGGCACTTCGGGGGGATTAATTATCCAGTTGGTGGCGTTGGTGGTATTGCAATATCCCTGGCAGATGGCCTTGTTGAAAAGGGCAGTGAAATACGTTACAAGGCGAATGTAACCAATGTTATTCTTGAAAATGGAAAGGCTGTGAGTTATCTTACTGACTTAAATACCTGGACTTATTGGGTTTTTGTATCTTAGTTGATAACTTCTGTACTCCAGGTTGGGGTGAGGTTATCAAATGGGAAGGAGTTCTTTGCTAAAACGGTGATATCAAATGCCACTAGATGGGACACGTTTGGTAATTCTAATATATCTTCGATTGGAACTTTCAAAAGAGGAAAAACTAGCTCTTTCAGTTTCATTAATTTACTTTTTTTTGAATGTACAGGAAAACTCTTGAAAGAAAAAGAACTTCCAGAAGAGGAGAAAAACTTTCAAAAGAATTATGTTAAGGCACCATCATTCCTTTCAATTCATATGGGTGTCAAAGCGGCAGTTCTGCCTGCTGGCACTGACTGCCACCATTTTGTACTTGAGGTATGCATTGTGTTCACTGGGAATGCCATATTGTTGAGAGTTTGACATCAGTAACATTTTCTTTGTATGACCTGTTTGAGTCCGTAATTGGCAGGATAATTGGAATAATTTGGAAAAGTCTTATGGAAGCATATTTTTAAGTATCCCTACAGTTCTTGATCCATCATTAGCTCCTGAAGGACATCATATACTTCATGTATTTACTACCGCAGGCATAGAAGACTGGGAGGTAAGGACAGTGTTCTAGCTGAAATGCAAATTTCATTAATATTGAGATACCATGTATTTTAGCGCTGTTTGTTTTCATCATTGACAGGGTCTTTCTAGGAAGGAGTATGAAGAGAAAAAAGAGGCGGTGGCCAATGAGATTATAAGAAGGCTTGAAAAGAAGTTGTTTCCTGGTCTTCAAGATTCAATAGTCCTCAAAGAGGTACCTTCTTGTTTTCCATGTCATTCTATTGATACATGTTCCACAGTTTGATTTTTATTAATTCTTGTATAAACTTTAAACTGCCTTCTTAGCAACTGTTAAGAGTTGATGGTGAAAGGAAGATTATCATATGCTTGAATATGTATATGATTATGGATTATGGATCAGAAACCATCTGCTATATTTGTCAATTTTTGATGACTTTGCTCACAGCAATATCTTTCCAGTATGTGGATATCCCTTGAGGAGAGTAATGACCACTGACACAAGTCTCTTGAACAAACTCTTTCAAATGATCCATATCAAGTAATTGTAGTGTGGTTTCCATACCTTGCTTTAGGGCGCAGCTTCTTTATGGGCAATTGTCATAGTCAGTTGAGTTGTGAGTTAAAAAATATTGACTTCTATGAATCACATGTCTAGCAACATATAATAACGCAGAAACTTTTGTAGCCTAGTCACACGTGCTTTGGTTATATGCAGTAAACTTAACTGGAACTGTTCTGACTTCTGCTACCAGTAACTCTTCTAATGCAAAACTTGTTTTGTTTCATCAGGTAGGCTCACCAAAAACTCACCGAAGATTTCTTGCTCGAAATGATGGTACATATGGACCAATGCCACGGGGTAAACCGAAGGGCTTACTGGCTATGCCTTTCAATACTACTGTAAGTATCAGAAATCATCTCCCTTTGGGTGACTTGATGTACTGGATGTCCTCACAATGTTATAAGATTTGTCGAACTGAAACTGGGGTTCTCAATTTACAGTCAATAGATGGCCTTTACTGTGTTGGTGACAGCTGTTTTCCTGGGCAAGGTGTCATAGCTGTAGCATTCTCAGGGATCATGTGTGCTCACCGAGTTGCTGCAGATATTGGTAAGTTCAATTTTTACTGTGTCTGTCCTGAACAGGGATAGCTTGATGTTTCACTAAGACAGAATTAGTCACATGTTTGATGCTAGGTCTTAGAGTAGAACTCTTGATGAACAGTGCTATGAGAATGGTTTGCAACTCACAGTTTCTTTTTACTGCTTTACCCTTCTTCCAGGACTAGAGCAAAAATCTCCAGTTCTAGATGCTGGTCTTCTTGGGCTACTCAGATGGTTCAGAACACTTGCATAGGACTATCAGACAGTGGAAAATGGACTTCATCTTGTTTCAGAAGGCTGATATTTCACTAGAGTTAGGATTCTGCACTTGTTATGATGATCTGGAGCTGCAGCCTTTGTTATCAGCAGCGATTTCTCTTAACTCTCAAAAGGGAAAAAAAAGAAATATAAATAGGTGTACAGGTTTCAGATTTCAAATTCTATAATTAGGGGTACCTCAGCTTTTGTCTGTTGTGTACCTCAGCTGATTACCACGATAAGCAGAGCTGTACATTTGGGAGCAATGTAAATCATGTTACCTAAGGACTTTGAAAGTTCTGTTTTGGGACACCCTTCAACTCTCTGAATATACAAAAGCATCCTTCAACTCTGAAGTCTGAATATACAAAAGCGTCAAATGTGGTTTTGCCGGACGGATGCTTCCGCCACCCAAAGCTGTGGGGTGGGTCGAAATAGTCTCAGTCAGATTCAATGCTCTGCCCGACAAAGGTGCCTAGCAACCAAGCGTGCACTATGGTCTACCCTTAGTTTGTCTAGCACTAGCAGTATGTGATCGCCCATCACAAGCACCTGCGGGTAATTGTGCTGGGTTTATATTTATATAGTATTTGGTTATATATTCAGAGTCCAGCACAATATGTTAACCAAAGTGTCTGAAGCTGCGTGTAGTTGACAAGGTAACGGTGCGCTTCTGCGCATATAGAAGGCAAATGCAACATTTCCTTTTCCTTTCCTGGAGGAAACCAATTATCAATTGCAATATTGCATCACTCAGATACAAGTTACATGGTATGCCAAACAGTGCAATTGTTCTCAACTAAATTCTTTAAAAAAATATATATATTCTCGATACAGGTTGCATGGCACAATAACAATACAATCGTTCTTGCACTAAATTGTGTCAAAAAATTGGATGGCATAATGTGGCAGGTCATGGTACAAATTAAATCGGATAATCAGTTCGCTAGATTCCGGGTGACTGCCATGCCAATCGGAGGGCTCATGATCATTGTCCACCAAGAAGGTACTGCAGACTGCCTCAAGGAAAAATGGGCATAGAAAATTGCTTAACTCTTACAAAAAAAAATGGATCCACTCAAACATGAAGATCAGAGACCTTGCCGTTGTGAAACTCAGAAGGAGAACTTGAATCCTCCACTTTTGGCATCGGCAGCAGAATCCCAGAACGACGCTTTCTTCTTCCGAGCAGCGGCCTTCTGCTGAACCTCAAGCTCAAGCTGCTTGATCATGCCAGGGTGAGCTGCCTCGATGGCACCCCGGAACTTGTCATGCAGATTCACTCTGTCCTTAGTCCCGGAGACAAGCTCACTTGCGTTGGGCTTCTTGAGGAAATCAAGAACATTCAACAAATTCCTCCTGCATGTTTTGCAGGAAAAGAAAGAGGCAACACATCATACATAAGCTAAATATTTTGAGAAAATAGACCAAAAGTTCTCAAATAAGTTGCATAGTTCTGAAAAACGTCCATGCAATGGTTGCAAATTATAGTTGAGAATTCTCTGCTATATTCATGCGAAAATCTAGAGGAAAAAATCGTATGTACTTCCAAAATAACCAGGATAGGCAGCATCAGATGACCAGATAGCATCAAGTTCACAGAACAGACAACTGCATACCAAGCAGCTAACAAGGCTAACTGGACAACCTTAGTTGAATTGCGAATGTCCAGATTGAACCCCTACACAAAGAACCCAGCTTCATCATTCTTCCATATCTAGTCAGAATCCTAATTCCTAAACAACAATTCAAAGATGAATGGAGGACAGCATCAAGTAGAAAGCAGAGAATTTATGTTCAAAGGTAATGTTGTCCCCAAAGGACAATTCTCATTCATTCATATATTGATCATGTTATCATTTTGGGTAAACAAATTTTCTTAATTTGGGTACAACTCGTAAGTTTTACATTGACAGGGAGACCTACACTTTGTACGCTAAAGTAAGATAAATATACTAACATGAATCATACATGATCAAACAGTGCTGTCATTTGGCCATGCAAGCAAGCTAAGCATAGTTTGTGAAATGGCATGACAAAAAAAGCCTATTGAAGAGCAACTATTTGTAGATAAGAAAAGACAAAAGATGAATTCTTTAAGGTGATTGCTTAAGTGAAAGACAACACATATGACATGATTACAGAAAAAACAATGAAATTGTTTGCGCTGTGAAATCTAACCTGCTCACATAATTCTGGGTAATGGCAATTGACTCTTCAAGATTGATCACCAAATGCCACCATCCATTAGGCACGAAAACCACCTCCCAGCTCGGCACACACACTCAATAGGCCTCTTTTCCCAGGTCTTACAAGCCCGTAGAAGTTCATGAACCACTCCATGATAGACACAGGGCTGGTGACCTCTGCTCCATCAGCACTAGGGTGGACACCAGGCGGCACAACCTCTGGTGGGAACATCACCCACTTCTTAGCCCCCTTGATGATAGCATTCCATGCCGATGTCGAGTTGGGATCGACATGGAACGATGAGCCTGACCCTGCTGGTCCAATGATAACCCATCTGTAATCCGGCCTCTCCTTCCCAAGAACACTAAACAGGTCCTCCCTGAAGTACTCCGGAACCTCATAGTCCCTCCCCATCTCTGGTACGTTCTCAGCAAACTTCGCATCAAACAGATACAATGGCCTCTCCTCCTGGACATTGTCAGCGTACCGGAAGTACCTATCCAATGGCATGCTCACTGGCCCGACCGCAAACTCCTTACCCGCCGAGATCTCCAGCAAGTAGTCTCTGCTCCATTTCTGTAACGCCGGCCAGGTATCGATGCACCCCTCCAGCAGCACCGGCCTGTTGGGCTCCTCGACCTCGGCGACGAACTGCTCCACGGACATGCCGTGGCGGCGCTCGATGTTGTCCCGCGCGAGCCACTCGTGCCGCATCTCCATGTTGGCGCAGAGCCAGCTCTGGAAGAGGTAGTCGGAGTAGAAGCCCTTGATCTTCAGAGCGCGCGGGGGGATGAGGTAGGCCTGGCCGCCGCGGGAGGCGGCGGCGATGTAGGTGGCGCGCCAGGACCCGGCGAAGTCGAACGTGCCGCCGAGCTCGTGGAGGACGAGCGCCCGCCAGAGCGGGTCGTGGGAGGCGACGACGTAGAGCGCCTTGGACGCGGCCGAGAGCGCCGCGAGGTCGCGCGCGGGGAGCAGGCCCAGGACGTCTAGGAGAAGGTCGTCCGGGAGCGGCCGGAGCGCGCCCAGCCCCGCGTCCCGGAGGTTTCCGCGCGGGGTGGCGGAGAGGAAGAGGTTGCCGAGCGGCTCGACGTGGCATCCGATGTCTCTGGAGGTGGCGGAGCTGGAGCTTTTTAGGTGGAAGGACGGGTCTCCAGCGGAGGCGGCGAGGTGGTTCTCCTTTGGGTGACTGCGTCTGCGGCCGCGCTTGGATTTGCGCTTCCGTTTGAGGGGGAGGAGGGAGTGGAAGGCGCCCGGCATGCTCGGCTCCGGGCGGCGGGGAGCGGCGGCGGCGGCGGCGGCGGAGAGGAAGGAGCACCAGAGGAGTTTGGGGTTTTGGGGGAAGAGTGGAAGACTGGCGAAGCTCGCCTTTCGATCAGAGATGGACGGACGAGACGTGTGAGGAAAATAATAAACTGTCAAATTTCCGAGCTAAAACAACGGGACCTTGTTTTGATGTTGTATAGTATTATAAGAAATCATATAAGAAATAGAAAAAGTCTACATAACCCCTGATGTTTAGCCTGTGGACTACTTAAACCCCTAAAGTACAAAACCATCTATTTAACACCCTAAAATTTGCCAAACCATTCAAAAGATGACATGTTGGCAGTGGGCCCTTCGTATGTAGAGGGACATCAAATTATCTCCTGTGGGGTATGGCTTCGTCATCGTCTGCTCGATCGTGTGCTTTAACTTATATAAGGCCCGTGTTGAAAGACGTGATAATTATCTCCTGTGGGCTATGGCTTCGATAGGATAGGTTGTGGAGTTGTATAAATATCAGCTAACAAACTCTTGATTTGCATGGTCGTGATAGTTAGTTGTGTTGATGTAGTCATACGTGAAGATAGCTTGTTGTAACAAACTCACGAGTCACGGCCAGCTCTCTCGGCTTGTTAGCTTCTGTACTCGCATCTATTTGTGTGGCCACTCGAGGGGCTCTTCCTCGGTATAATTAACACGTACCCGTCGGACTCTAGTAAGAGAGCCGGCATTCCAAGCGCCTCTGATCAATTCACAGCTAGTCCGGTCATGCACGCACGCGCCGCGTGCCACCAGACTTCTTCCAACTGCGTCGCCACCATTCTCGTCCACGCGCTAGGTAGTAGCTGCCTAGCTGCTTCGTCTCATCAGCTTGCTCGTGCTGCGCTGCCAACGAACCAAGCGACGCCGGGCAGTGCACGGCAGCGGCGACACATCGATGGAGAAGCAGCAGCACATCGACGGAGAAGCAGCACCAAAGATCGAGCGGGCACTGCGCGGCAGCAGCGACGCCGGCCCGGCAGCGCGCCAAGTATGAGGCAGCTCATCATCCGCCGAGCCTACGCGTTGTACTTGTACCTGACTACCAGTGCCTACTCCACGCACACGCTCTACTCTTCGGCATGTTTCTTTGCCACGGTGGAATGCCAAGTGAGCAAAACCAGGGCAAGGGTTTTTTTTGAATGGTTTGGCAAATTTTAGGGTGTTGGATATATGGTTTTATACTTTAGGGGGTAAAGTAGTCCACAAGCCAAACGTGAGGGGTTATATAGACTTTTTCCTATAAGAAATTGTAGTTTTAGAGCCAATTTCTGAGCGAAAACAACGGACTCTTTTTGGGTGTTGTAGTATTATAAGAAATCATATAAGAAATTGTAGTTTTAGAGCCACTGACGTGCAAAACCGTGGTTTAGAAAAAAATGGTCTAAAGTGGAGTTTTTAAAATTCCAAACAGACTACAGTTTCAACAATACCATGGTATTCAAAACCATAAAGTTTGTTACACCCAAACATTTCGTGACACTCTAAAACCAAAATATTTCATTAAACCATAGTATTTATCTAAAACTCCAAAAATACTTCGTATCCAAAAAGGGCCTAGTTCGTTTTCCATTGCATAATTTTTTTCCAGGGTTTTTTTAAAATCTGCCGAAATTGATAGGTTTCATTTTCCACTGCATAACTTTTTTCCCCGGAGGTTTTTAAAAATCTCCTGGAATTGATAGGGTCCTGCAATGTAGGCTCCAAAACTTTTTGTTAGTCCTTTAACTTTTAAGTGATTCATTCTACATTACTCGGTCCAATTATCAACTTGAATTCACACTTCAAATGGACCATTTGAAAAGTTGAAGGACTCAGATGATCACATGAGAGTTTATAGACCCAAATGAGATTACAAGAAAAATTTAAGGACCCATAAATTCTAGGATTGAATCTCTTTTTGGCCCATCAACTCTTACGTTTGTCTAATTTTAACCTCCAAAAACTAAATTAGGTAACTTTGGCATCTCAACTATCAGAACTGATTAATTTTGACCTAGGTGCCTGTTTTGAGTGTTTTTTAGGTGTCTCTGCTAATGTTTATGGAAGGAATGCTCGTGCAAATCAACGTGGCCAACCTATTAAGCCGGTACAACTCGTCAACTTGGACCGGACCAACTCAAACCAATAATCAGTGAAACCACTACCAACCCGGTACAAACTGAGCCAAGCGAGATCAACAATCGTACACACGACTAGGGTTACAAAACCAGCCAAATCCGCTTCCAACCCATGAAGGGCTAGGGTGAGTTGCATCTTGTTGATGAGATTCTGGAGCTTGTTAGTCCAAGCCAATCCATGGACCCAAATTTTTAATTAAAATTGAAAAAAATAGGATGACATCTCTATATCTAAGTTGATAATAGATATATGTTAATTTCAGTTGCATTGCATATAGATCGTAAAAGTGGAAGTTTATAAACCATCACATGGTGCCTTACTAGCTTATGGGCGCTTATCTGTGGCTGCCACCAAACTAATCACGCCTATTGCTCCACATGTGGAAGATAATATGGACGTGGTTGTCTGTCGTGGCTTGCTCCTTCCATTGGCGTGTCATTGGTGGCAGTAGGCATCCGATGAAACCAGTAGCAGGCAGAAGATGGGACGAGATGGAGGGTCGTGAATCGTGATGACAGTAAATCAGTAATGCACGTCGTCGTTTCACTACTAGAAGGGGACATTTTGATTAATATATGCGAGTTGATTAATGTGTGATTTGTACGATAATGTGCTGGTCTTTGGCGGTCAAAGATTATTGTATTGATTTGGTTAATCTGTGAGAAAGTTATCAAGGGGACATTCTGACTAATAACTTGCTAATAGCAAGTTTTGATGAACCGAATGAATTTTGGTTCTTTTGCTATTGTTTTCACTGAGCTGCTTCTTTAGTTTTTTAATCTATCAGTATATTTGGTACAACTGTAGCTCTGAATTTCCACCCCTCTTTCTCGATGCCACCTAGGGCCTGTGCGTCAGCTCTTCATCTCCTCTTTCTCCTCCTTCCTGCAGATCGGAGCATAGCCGAGGATGGGCACGCGGCCGGGGTGCGCAGCCAGAGCACACGGAGCTCGCGGCTGGGGGGCACGCGGCCCTTACCAGTGATGCATATGAAGGCATAATAAGCTCTTGGATTTTGCTATGGTACTCCCAAATAAGTGTGAGAGGTTGATTTAATTAGATCAAACGGTACTCCCAAATGCATGTGTATTCAATTAGATGTGTGGTGTGAGTGTGGAGTGTGTGTTATGTGCGTCTAAGTTGTACCCGATCAAAAAAAGAAAATTAGATGTGTGGTAGATCTTTTTGTTTTACAACTTTAGATATAAAACATGATTTGATTAACATAAACTGCTTTTTTTATGCATCCGAAATATTCGTTCCAAAGTCGGTGATAGCGTTTCTTCCCTACGTTCGTCTATTTTCCAAAGTCACGTGATAGCTACGCGTAGCCTTTGTTCGCAATACACATAGATAACATAAGTAGATAAACAAATTCATAAAAAAAATAACATAATCATTAATAAATATTTTAGCAATTCAATATATTAAGCATAAATAAAACTATACATAAATATGGTAAAATATATAACTAAAAGGAAGGAGGCCGGCGTGCAGCGGTGCACAGCAACAGGCAAGCGCGGCACCCGCACGCCCACATCTGTCCCGTGATAAGGGGGTTTGAGCATTTTTTTTCTTTTCCTACCTTAAATATTAATTAATTAATTTAAAAATATCTTGAAATTTAACGATCCAGACTTGTTTGAAGTATTACCTCATATAAGTAAAGTACCATATGCCTTTAGCAATTTTTTTGTATGGTGGTACACATGGGGCATATGCCCTTAAGAATAATTTTTTTCCTGCGTTCGTACCTACGTCTCGTTGACACCGACGACCTGACTTGGACACAATGCAAGTTGTTTAACAACATGACGAGGCACATATATGTAAGTCCGTGTCCTGGACTGGCCCGCGCGCAGCGCCCGCGCCGAGGCCTTCATGAAGGGAATTAAGGGAACGGTAATGCAATTACCTGCTGGTGTTATGTGTTAAATGGGAACAATAATCAATAAACGTCATTTGTTTGGTTCGCTGTGGGAGTGGGAGTGCTTTCCATTCACCTTTCTACTTTCTTTTTCGTTCTTCTTGCCACTATTGGACGACGACTTCTCCATCTTGGCCGGGCCAGGGGCAGGGGACTCGTGGGCCTCGTCTCAAGGGCTGGCGCCACACCGGGCACCTCGAGCATGGATGCGTGGCCAGGGTGGAGGATGGTGCGACGGCAAGGGAGGACGCGAGGTGGTCAGAGAGGAGCATGTAGGGGCGACTTTGGCGAGGATGGGGGCGGCAACGGCGCTCTAATTTTCTTCGATATGTCGTGAGTTCATGACCGGAGCTGATAGCGCTGGGAGAGGGCAATCACTGGGGTGGGGGGGGCTCGTAGGGGCCATGGCCCCCTTAACATGCCACAACAATTTTTTACTAGTATAAATTTATGATTTTTATGTACATTAAAAGGGAGAATATAATAAAAATCATGTCATATAATAAAACATCAATACTTTTTAATATGTATTTGGTCAAAATTAAGAATCTTTGACTCCTCGGAATGTAAGATTTATATTCTTTGTGGACGCATGTAGTATCTATTAATTTCTCTAGATAATAAAATTATACAAAATACAACTAGATAATACTACAAAGTGCCTTAGAAAGACTGAGAGATCTTGTTACGAAATCACTCCAGACGTCTTGCTGTTAAGTTGTCGTCTATCACAAAAAAATACGCCTTTGATCCTAGAATATATATATATATATATATATATATATATATATATATATATATATATATATATATATATATATATATATATATATATAAAAGAAGATACGAGCGCCAGTATGAAGTCGACGAATTAAGCTAGACGGTAATCATAAGGAACCTAACCAGT